TGTGTGAGAATTTGGAATTTATTGTGTAACTGCAGCTGGGCAGAGGTATTAGATCGGCGACCTCCCTTCTGGCATTCAGGAAAAAACTGAAGACCTGGGTTTGGGACCAAGCCTTTGGACACACTGGCAGCTAAATTAAGGATCTGACGACAGACAAGGACAAATGGAATGGAATGGATATATGGACTCTGAACCCGAGCATGAGATTGTCTTAATATTTTATTATGCACTGATGTTTTAATTTTAACTGTTGAATTGTTTTTTGTATTTTGTATTACTGTCAATTGATTTAGGCATTTAATTGTGCCTCCTCTGTAAGCTGCCCTGAGTCCCCGTCCCCCCTGGGGTGAGAAGGGCGGGGTATAAGTAAATGAAATGAATAAATAAATAAATAAATATTCTGAGGAGTCTTCCGGGTCCTATGTTTCTTTCTAAGGGTAACATGCCTCCAAGCTTGAGGGTTGTCCACATCTGAGGTGATCTGCTCTTGAGCCTCCCCATAATGTTGGTGTGCTATGGGCTGCGTGTCTGGGACAGTGTGGTGTGTGGTGTCTAAGAACAGCTCAAGTTCCTGAATGTCCTTAAGGGTCTTAAATATCCAGATAATTCATCTTTAAATATTTTGTAATACTGGGATGTCAAACCATCTGGCCCGGGAGCCTTGTTGTTTGCTAGTTTGTCTTTCGTTTTTTTTAAAACTTCCTCCTCTGTTATTGGATTATTCAATATTTCTCTTTCTAAGTCGGATATTTTTCCTAATTTTTGCTCCGAGATGAAGGTTACTATATCCTCCTTCTTCACCTGGTCTTTTTTGTACAGCTTTTTATAAAATTCCCTGAATTGGAAGGCAATCTCTTTTACTTTTGTGTAATTCTTCCCCCTTCTATTATCTGTGGTATAAACTGGTTTTGTCTTCTTTTTTCCAGTTTCTTGGCTAAATATTTGCCCGGTTTGTTGGCACTCATAAAGTAATGTAATTTCAGGTATTTTATGGTTCTAGCCATTTGTTCAACCTGTACTGTATTAATTTCTTTTCTGATTAGATCTATTTCTAATTTAATTTTTTCGTCTGTTGGTTTTATTTTTAATTGATCTTTTATTTTTAGTTTTTCTTCCATTTTTTGTTTGTTTTTCATTTCTTTTTTTCTTTTTTATGGCACCCTGCTGAATGAAGTGGCCGCGTATGACTGCTTTGCTGGTATCCCATACTATCTCAGTTTTAATGTCCTTATTTGCATTATTTTCAAAGTATTCTTTCAAAACATTCTTATTATATTCTATTTCTTCCTTCGATTGCAGTAGGGACTCATTTAGTTTCCATCGCTTGCTTCTATGATTATTTACAATTTCGATTTTTAATGGGCAGTGGTCCACGTGACTTCTTGGAAGTATTTTTATTTCTTTTATTTTTGTTGCTAAGGAGTTCGAAACCCAGCACATATCTATTTTAGACCACGACTGGTGTCTGCTAGAATAGTAGGTATAGTCTTTCTTCCCGGGGTTCTTAAGATGTCTTGCAGGTGGAGTTCTTTTTGTAGATGTAGGAATTTTTGAGGTAATCTGCCTCCTTTTGGGTCACCCCCTCTTGTTTTCCTCCTTGATTTATCTATCTCATTTTCGACTACTCCGTTAAAGTCTCCCAAGATTATTAAGTTGTCATATGACTGTTCTGATATTTTCTTCCTCAAAAGATTTATGAAGGGCGATTTAGCACCAGTGGGTGCGTATATGTTGCATAATCCCCAGAAGTCCCCAGTGTCAAGACCTTGCGTCTAACAGCAACCAGACGCAGAGCCTTCAGAGGCAGTGGCACCATCACTCTGGAATACTCTGCCACCTGAAGGGGGACTTACCAGCTTTCCGCAGGGCATGTAAGACATACCTGTTTCGACAGGCTTTTAATGTTTGATACTGCTGTTTTTAAATTGTTTTAAATTGCTTTTAAATTTTGTTAGATTTTAGCTATTCTTGTAAGCCACTCCGAGCCCCAGGGGAGTGGTGGCATATAAGTCCAAATAATAAATAAATAAATAAATAATAGCATGTTTTGGTCGTTTAATTTAATTTTGACCCCTATCATTCTTCCATCATTATCTTTGAAGGCTAATTTTGATTTTAAGTTTTCTTTTACATAAATTGCAATACCCCTTTTTTCTGAAGGAGATGATTGAAATAATTTGCCCAACTGCTTATTTTCTAGGTGTTCCGAGTGTTTTTGTCTAATATGCATTTCTTGGATTGCAATTATGTCACATTTCAAACTCTTTAATTGGTTGAATATCAGTTTTCTTTTATTGGGGACATTTATTCCGTTAACATTATTACATATTATCTTCGTTGCCGTCTTCTTGTTCTAGATTAATTAAGTCTTTTGTCACTTTAGTTTTATTGTATTGCTTGCCATAGTCTTCTGGAGAGAATTGCCTGGGTCTTTTTTCTCCTTTTTCTTCTTCTTGATGAGGTTGCCAAATCCATCTCTTCTTCTTCCAAGTCTGTTGTTTCCTTAGGATCTGATTCTTTTTTTTTCTTGTCCTTTTCTGGGGTCAAATTCTTTTCTGATTTTCTGGTAAAAGTCCTTCGCATTTTCGATTGAAGTAATCCAATATCTTTCTTCTTTGAAGGTTGCCATTATTCCTTCCACTCTTTCCCATCTAAATTTTATTTGGTGTTTTTTTAGTTCATCAGTGAGGAAATACTATTGTTTACGTCTACTCATGGTTGAGGCTGGAACATCTTTTAAAATGGCGACTTTCTTTCCCCTATATATTGTAGCTTCTTTCATATTTTTTAAGATTTGATCTCTCAGACTTTTCTTTGTGAAATGGACTACAACGTCTCTGGCAGTCTTATGTTTCTTCGCATAATTTGTACAGACCCTATACATTCTGTCAATATTTTGGTCTGTGTCTTCTATAGACATGTCTAGGATTTTAGCTGTTATTTCTGTTATAATTGTTCTTAAATTCTCTTGTTCTTTCTCTTCTATGTTTCTATATCTTAGTTGAAAATCAGTTTCCCTTGCCTCTATCTGTTCTTGCTGCTTTGTTAACTTTTGTGTTAAGTCTTCAAGCTTGTCCATTTTTTTGTTTATTTTTTCTTGTGTTTTCTTAGTGTATTTTCCTTTTTAATCTCATTTATCTTTTTGCATTGTACTCATTTCACTTTTTATTGCTGACATCTCTTCTTTCATATCTTCTCTCATTTTCCCCATCTCTTCCTTAATCATTTTCCCATCTTATCTTGCACTTTTTCTTGAGAGGCTTGTAGTTTGTCTTGAGAGGCTTGCAACTTTTCTTGTGATTCTTGAATTTTTTGGATTTCTGTCAGGAGATTCTTTAATGAGGGCTCTCCTTGTACAGGTTCTCCTTGCACGGAGTGCTTCCTTACTGATTGGGCTTTAGTTGCTTTTAGTGTTGCATATTTCTCCATGTTGACTTCTCTCTCTGTCTCTCTCTCTCTCTCTCTGTCTCTCTTTTGTACAATATAACCAATGCTTTCCCAGTTAATTCTTCTTATTAGATCTTAATTCTTAATTCTTAGTTATTGTTCTCTCAATTTGTGTACTCGAGTCATCAAATCATCAGTTCATCAATTCATCAATTCCCATCAATTCATCAATTCTAAATCAATTCTAAATTACCATTTCATACACAACATTTCATACAACAATTAACCTTTCATTTATAACATTAACTCTATCCTATATCCAATGTGGTATGTTATGCTTAAACCTTCAATTCATCAACTGTATTTATTGTTATATTCCACAAATTAAAGATGCACTAATAATGTAAATAATGTAAATAATATCAATTGCTAATTATCTATTATCAATTATTAATTACTTATCAATTATCACAATTGTATCATAATACAATCATATACAATGTATTTTGTTTATATATTTATGTATTGAGTTCACTTCTCTTTCTCTGTTTCTATTTTCCCTTCTTCTTTCCTTTGTCTCTCACGTGTGCTCACTCTGTTTTCCCTACTATTAAATGTATTATTATTATTTTTTCCTCCCTTTATTGTTGTATGGCTTTTTATTTTCCTTTCTCAATTTTTCTCAGTTTAGATAATATTCTTCTGGAATCTTACCTTCTCTTCATTAGAGTCCAAGTCTCTGTTTGATTTATTTTCTTCTTCTTCTTCTTCTTCTTCTTCTTCTTCTTCTTCTTCTTCTTCTTCTTCTTCTTCTTCTTTACTACTCTTTTACTACTCTTTTGCTGCTTTATGTCTCCTTCCTTATTTGCGGCTTGTCCGTTTCTTTCAATCTTCTCCCGGCTTCACTCCACACTCCAGGAACGCAGCTGCGGCTCTCAGTTGTTTCTCTATCCTGGTTACTTTCCAGTTCTTGGTGGATTGTAAGTCCTTTTTGGATTTCTTCGGTAGCGCTTTTTCTCTCTGCTTCCTTTATCTTTCTTGGTGTTTTCTTCTTATCTTCTACTCTTCTTAAGAAAAAAGAAGGCGAGAGGCTTGCACGCCACGCTTTTGCCTTGCGTATCCTCCTCTCAGGCTGCTGTCTCTTTGAAGGTCTCACGCATGGGTTTGGTGAGCTTCCGGAGGGAAACTCACCGACCCGTGCCAGGAGGGTCCCTCCTTGAGATTTGCTACCTTGCCTTCCCCCCTGGCCAAAGGACATTTAGCATTATGCCAAGTTTTGAACTTGGTTTGTGGTTTTTTTTAATACATTATAACTGTATTCTCAATTCACTTCTGACACGATAAATAAATAAATAGCCAGGTGTGTCTTCAGTGTCACCCAAAGGTTTGTCCCAAGATATCCTTCTGACATTCTATGTTATGAGGCCTTTCAATCCAGTCTCAAAAGATTAATCTTTCAAAATGCTCCATGGCAAGTTTTTGGCACCACTTTTAACCAACAGGAGAAAACGATGCAAGACTAAATGAGAGTGTCTGAATTCTGCGCAGAATTGTGCAGCATCTTTTGATGGGCTTATAATGGCTTATAATGGCAAAAAAAAAACCTTTATTACCTCAGCATGATTCCTTCGAGGCGAATGGCTCGCTTCCAGTCCTTCAGGGTAGATTTGCCGGCCAGATGAACAAAGTGCTTTGGGCTGATAAGCTGATCATTGAACTAACAAACATACAGAAGAAATAAATCAAATAAGGCGCCAAGACAAAGGCTTCAGTCCTGTGTCTGAACAAATAGAATTAAATCTGTGAATATGAAACAGACGTTTGGTACAAGGAGGTGAAGAACATCACAATAAATGATAAACTGACTTGTGAAATACAATGCAAAGACAGTAACAAAAATAAATGATTTTGTGACAATATGAGGCGAATTCTTAGAATATATATTTCTTAAAGGAAAAGGAATAAAACCAAATCAACATACACTAGCCTTTTGAAGAAGAGGGCAAGATAAGGATCATGAATATTAAGGATGAATAAATGTCCCACGTGTATAAAAATATATGACTGCGTAACTAATTTATTTTATGTTTTGTGTTAATGTTAATTGTGTGTGATTCATATAATTTATTTATCTATCTATCTATACATCTATACACATAATAAAAGTGAAAATGTGTGTATGTGTGTGTGTGAAAATGTGTATATGTGTGTACGTGGCGGAGGTGTCCACTTACACAGACAGCCTCCCAAACAGCTATAACCCACAGTGCTGAAGAGCCAGGTTACAGCGAGCACCGTGAACATATCTCCCAACCCCTGCCAATGTCCTCCCGAAACACCATATTGCCACCCAAGGAATGCTTTCATTTGGGGATAATTTCATCCTAGATTTGCTGTTTTTCCTCCACAATGGACATCCCAGGGTTCCTTATTCTTTCCATTGCTGTGGAATTTGCATGACCCCACCCACTGCCTCTCCCTTAACCCTTTCCTAACCTTTCCTATGGCACACAGCAAACAGGAATTGATCACCAACTGAACAAGAGATTTGGGGGAAATTCACAATGATTTCTAGGAATTGTAGTCCACCTATGTACATCCAGAGAGCACTGTGAATCCAACCAATGTTGGATCTGGACCACACTTGCTATGAATGATGGGATTTGCAGTACTTTCACTCACTTCCTGAGACCACTGCAACCCCCACAAATGAGGGACCTGGACCAAAATTCGAACACAGAACCCTGAACATACTGGAGGTATTTGTGGGGGGACCAACCTACCCCTGTGGGAGTTCACCCTGCATCCAGAGCACTCTGGACCCCACCAATGATGGATCTGGACCAAACATGGCACACAGAACCCTGGTGACAAACGGAACATACTGTTTGAGGGAGAACTAACCCACCCATGTGGGAATTGTAGTTCACCCTGCAGCCAAAGAGCATTCCGAAGCCCATAATGGCAGATCTGAAACACACGTGACACACAGAATTGTGATGACCAACAGAACATACTGGAGAGGTTGGGGATGGAATGAGCCACCTGCATGGGAGTTGTAGTTCACCCTTAATCCAGAGCACTTTGAACCCTCTCAGTAATGGATCTGCACCAAACTTGGCACACAGACTAAACATGCCCAACTGTGAATACAGGTGGAGTTTGAAGGTGAATGCCTTGGGAATCTGGGAGTTGTAGTTCACTTGCATCTAGAGAAAGTATTACCCCCGACAACAATGGACCAGGACCAGACTTGGCACAGAGATGCCCCATGACCAACTGAACATGCTGCTGGGGTTAATGGGAATTGAACAAGATTTTGGGAGTTCACCTGCATCCAGAGAGCACTGAACCCAGCCAACTGTGCAACATGGCCAACTGTGCATACAGGCCTGGTTTGGGGAGGATTGACCCACGGTTTTGGGAATTGTAGTTCACCCACATCCTTATGTATTTTCTAATGGGAGCATTAATTAAAAACCAAATCAAAAACTGGCTTTTTTCTAATGAATGCTGTTACTAATTAAATGATATTACCTAATACCCCAAAACAAACAATGCCTTTTTCAAATAACCCGGGCACTGCTGGGTAGCCAAGCGAGTTATGAACAAATAAGAAAAATTACAAGTTTTTTGAAAAAAGGCCCTATCACAAACCAAGTAAAAATTTAACAGGGCCGCCAGAAAACAAAGTGTGGCCATGGTGTTACCTTAACACACTTGACATTGATTCCAGGGCAAACAAATTTCTTCCAGAGAAGGATGGCTTTGCTCTCTCCACAGGTGATGGGGTACGCAATCTCAATTTCCTCATGGGCTTCAATTGTTCTGGAATCTGTAGGTAGAGAAGAAGAATGGCTCGAGAAAAGCATGCAAGCACATGTTCACTAAATCACTAAATGGTATCAAGACATAAAAAGATATCTTTTTGGACTTCTTCCAGCCAGCACAGCTGATTCTCAGAGTAAGAAAACAGGCACGGGCAAACTTAGACCTTCCTCTAGGTGTTTTGGACTTCACCTCTCACTATTATTATTATGTTAACCATTTCCGCTACCTTGGCAGCCACCTCTCCACCAAAGTCAACATTGACACCGAAATACAACACCGCCTGAGCACTGTGAGTGCAGCATTTTTCAGAATGAAGCAGAGAGGACCGGGACATCCATAGGGATACCAAGGTGCTTGTTTATAAAGCTATTGTCCTCCCAACCCTGCTATATGCCTGCGAAACATGGACTGTCTACAGACGTCACATGCAACTCCTGGAACGATTCCATCAGCGCTGCCTGCGGAAAATCCTGCAAATCTCTTGGGAAGACAGGCAGACAAATGTCAGTGTGCTGGAAGAAGCAAAGACCACCAGCACTGAAGCGATGGTCCTCCACCATCAACTCCTCTGGACTGGCCACGTTGTCCAGATGCCGGACCACCGTCTCCCAAAGCAGTTACTCTACTCCGAACTCAAGAACGGAAAACGGAATGTTGGTGGACAAGAAAAGAGATTTAAAGATGGGCTCAAAGCCAACCTTAAAAACTCTGGCATAGACACTGAGAACTGGGAAGCCCTGGCCCTTGAGCGCTCCAGCTGGAGGTCAGCTGTGACCAGCAGTGCTACAGAATTTGAAGAGGCACGAATGGAGGGTGAAAGAGAGAAACGTGCCAAGAGGAAGGCGTGTCAAACCAACCCCAACCGGGACCTCCTTCCACCTGGAAACCAATGCCCTCACTGCGGGAGAAGATACAGATCAAGAATAGGGCTGCACAGTCACCTACGGACCCACCAGTACACTGATCCTGGAAGACTATCCTACTCAGCCAACGAGGGATCGCCTAAGTAAAGTAAGTAAGTATTATTATGATTATTATTGTTTATTTATATCCCGCTTTTTCTCTCCATAAGGAAACTCAAAGCCACTGACATTAAAAGCATTAAAATACAATTTAAAATATACAAATATAGAAATATTAAAACAGCATTAAACATCATTAGTATTCAAAACAATTCAGATTAAATCTATGAAAAACATATAAAACCACAGCAGTCTCTGACACGATCTTAAACACCTCCATCTTTAAAAGCCTGTTTGAATAAGAAGGTTTTAGCCTGCTGCTGGAAGGAAGGACAGTAGGGAGGATGGGGCCATTCTGGTTTCATTGGGAAGAAGAAGAAAGGAGCTCCAGAGGCGAGGGGAATTTGCCACTGAGAAGAAAGGAAGGAAGGAAGACCCTGTTCTCTCTCGTTCCCACCAACCGGGCTTGAGATGGAGGTGGGATTGAGAGAAGGAAGAACCTCTCCTGAAGGAGATCTCAGGGCAGGTTCGTACAAGGACACGCAGCCAGCCAAATAGCCTGGACCTGAATTGTGCCTGAAAAGAACAGGCAGCTGGTGGAGCTGCTGCAGGGGGGGGGGGGGGGGGGGTCCCTGCTCCATGTTCCAGAATTCAAGAGTACAAACTGCAGTCAGAGCTACAAAGACAAGCTAGACAGCCAAGGGTAAAAGTAAAGTTCAAGTCCATAAGTCAAAGCCAGGAAGTTAGCTCAAGATATAAATTCCAGGGTTCAGGAAACAACAAGATCCAAGACAAGGTTATGGGAGCAACAGAGTCCAAAGCAGGTCCGCAGGACCAAGGTTAGGATCCAAGAGTTCAATAGGATCATGACTGCAACTCGGCCGACCACCTGCTCCCTTGATCCATGTCCCTCCTGGCTAGTAAAATCTTGCCTGGAGGGATTACGTGAACCTCTGTTGAATATAATAAATAGCTCCCTTGAGCAAGGAGTTTTTCCAGAGGGTTTAAAAGAGGCGATGGTATCTCCGCTGCTGAAGAAACCAGACTTAGATCGTTCGGTTCCCTCTAGCTACCGCCCAGTCTCGAACCTTCCGTTTCTGGGCAAGGTGGTTGAGAGGGCAGCAGCAGAACAGTTGCAGCAGTTCCTTAATGACACAGCCGGACTTGATCCCTTCCAGTCCGGCTTCCGTAGGGGGCACGGGACGGAGACTGTGCTAGTTGCCATCACAGATCAGCTTCCAGATGGATCAAGGCGGATCAGCGCTGCTTGTGTTATTGGACCTCACAGCAGCATTTGATACGGTCGATCACAATCTATTGACCCACCGCCTAGCCATGACTAGGGTTAGGGGGATACCCCTTAAATGGGTGTCCTCCTTCCTCCAGAATCGGGGACAGCATGTGGTGAGGGGAGGGATGGTTTCCGAGAGATCTCCGCTAACTTGCGGGGTCCCGCAGGGAGCTATTCTCTCTCCTCTATTATTTAACATCTATATGCGACTCGCTTGCCCGACTGGTGCGGAGCTTTGGGCTTGAGTGCCACCAGTACGCTGATGACACTCAGCTCATTCTGAGGATGGAGGGCCGGCCGGACTGTACCCGAAAATTTCCATCAGTGCCTTGAGGCCGTTACTGGATGGTTGCGTGCCAGCAGGTTGAGGGTGAATCCAGCGAAGACGGAGATCCTTTGGCTGGGCCATCCGGGTGGGAGGGAGATCCAGCTGCCTACCCTGGATGGCGAGACACTACGTCCGTCACCTTCTGTAAAAAGCCTTGGTGTCTTATTGGACCCTCTGCTCACAATGGAGGCCCAGGTCTCTGCTGTGAGCAGATCTGCGTTTTTCCACCTACGTCAGGCTAGGCGACTGGCTCCCTTCCTATCTAGGAACGACCTGGCTACGGTGATCCAGGCGACGGTCATCTCGAGGCTTGACTATTGTAACGCCCTCTACATTGGCCTTCCTTTGTCAGTGATCCGGAAACTGAAGCTGGTGCAAAATGCGGCGGCTCGTCTTCTCGCCGGGGTGCCGGCGAGGTGTCGTATCACCCCAATTCTACAACAGCTGCACTGGCTTCCGATTGAGTACCGGATTACTTTCAAGGTGCTGGTACTAACCTTTAAGGCCTTATATGGTCTGGGGCCGGCGTACCTGAGGGCCCGCTTATCCCCCTACCAACCCCAGAGATTACTTCGGTCCAAAGACCAAAATTTGCTTGAAGTCCCCAACATCCGGACTTATCATCTGTCCTCTACTAGGCAGAGAGCCTTCTCGATTGTGGCCCCTTATTTATGGAATGCCTTGCCAGTTGAAACCCGAACCATCCGAGAGCTACTTGCTTTTCGGAAAGCCTGTAAAACCTTTCTTTTCCGACAAGCTTTTGATGGGTGAATAACTCGGGACTATGTCTGTTCTCGTTTTTATTGTATTTTAAAGTTGGTTGTATTGTTTTTAATCTACTGCTGTAAACCACCCCGTGAGTGGTGGTATACAAGTCAAATAAATAAATAAATAAATAAATAAATAAACAAACCCAGGAGTAACAATCAATTTATTTATTTTATTTACAGTATTTATATTCCGCCCTTCTCACCCCGCAGGGGTCTCAGGGCGGATTACAATGAACATATATGGCAAACATTCAATGCCAATTTTGACATACAACGTATACAGACATACACAGAGGCTATTTAACTTTTTCTGGCCGCCAGGGGAGCTGTTGCTTTCATCATCCATCTGCGACACTGATGAAGTACTTCCGCATTCCCCGCATGCTTTTTGCTGGAGTGCTTTGCTGGAGTCTTTTTATGGCCTCATAAATTAGTTAATTTAGCCCCCCCACACTTTAATTTTCCTACTTGACAGATGCAACTGTCTTTCGGGTTGCAAAGGTCGACAACAGGCTACACAATTGGTTGGAAGCCCACTTCAACCTGGGCTGGCTTCGAACTCATGACCTTTTGGTCAGAGTGATCTTAATGCAGCTGACACTCAGCCAGTTGTGCAACAATCCCGGTGCAATCAAGGTGCAGAGCATGAATATCAAAGTACGATATTATCTGCTATTTATTTATTTATTTATTTATTTATTTATTTACGACATTTATATGCTGCCCTTCTCACCCCGAAGGGGACTCAGAGCAGCTTACAAGACATATATACATACAATATATTATATTATTAGCATAATACAATATCAGTATTAAATATTACTATATTGTAAAGGTAAAGGTTTTCCCCTGACATGAAGTCCAGTCGTGTCTAACTCTGGGGTGTGGTGCTCATCTCTAGCGAGAAGACGAGCCGCCGCATTTCTAATCCCACAAATGAACATTAAAAAGGTAAAGGTTGTCCCCTGACATTAAGTCCAGTCGGGTCTAACTCTGGGTGTGGTGCTCATCTCTATTTCTAAGCCAAAGAGCCAGCGTTGTCTGTAGACACCTCCAAGGTCATGAGCCCACTGGCATGACTGCGTGGAGCGCCGTTACCTTCCTGCCAGAGCGGTACCGGGATTATGGCACAGCTGGGTGAGTGCTGGCTGAGTGTCAGCTGCATTAAGATCACTCTGACCAAAAAAGGTCATGAGTTCAAAGCCAGCCCGGGTTGGAGTGGATTTCCAACCAATTGTGTGTAGCCTGTTGTCGACCTTTGCAACCCAAAAGACAGTTGCATCTGTCAAGTAGGAAAATAAGGTACCACCTTAAAGTGTGGGGAGGCTAAATTAACTGATTTATGAGGCCATAAAGAAGACTCCAGCAAAGCATTCCAGCGGGGAAGCATGCGGGGAATGTGGAAGTGCTTCATCAGCGTCGCAGATGGACGATGAAAGTGACAGGTCCCCTGGCGGCCAAACCAATGATGGAATTGGGCCAAACATGGCATACAGGACTTCCATGACCAACAGAACACACTGGAATGGTTTGGTGGGCATTGACCTTGAGAGTTGTAGTTCAACTACATCCAGAGAGCACTGTGTACTCAAACAATGACGGATCTGGACCAAACTTGGCACGAATATTCCATATGCCCAAATATGGACACAGATGGAGTTTGGAGGAAATAGACCTTGACAATTGGGATTTGTAGTTACTGGGATTTATAGTTCACCTACAATCAAAGAGCATTCTGAACCACCAATGATGGAATTGAACCAAACATGGCATACAGGACTTTCATGACCAACAGAACACACTGGAAGGGTTTGGTGGGCATTGACCTTGAGTTTGGGAGTTGTAGTTCACCTACATCCAGAGAGCACTGTGGACTCAAACAATGATGGATCTGGACCAAACTTGACACAAAAATTCCATATGCCTAAATATGAACACAGATGGAGTTTGGAGGAAATACACCTTGACATTTGGGATTTGTAGTTACTGGGATTTATAGTTCACTACAATTAAAGAGCATTCTGAAACCCACAAACGACAGAAATGGGGCAAATTTCCCACACAGAACCCCCATGACCAACAGAAAATACTTAAGGCCATCCAGTCCAACTCTCTTCACCAGGGCAAGAAAATGTAATCAGAGCCCTCCTGACAAAGAGCCATCCAGTCATAAATATAGATAGATAGATATGATTCTCTCTCACACACACACCGATATAGTATCATAGATTTGAAAGAGACCCTTAAAGAAGGACTATGATATGTTGCATATTCCAGAGTAGGCAAACCAGACACTCTCCACATCAACACTGACAAAGAAACAACAAGAAATACTGTTTACTCACAAGCATAAAGAAATTACATATATTAGAAACCAACACTTTCTCATTACTTTATTTTCCAGATCACCAGACTGGGCCACAGCAACGCGTGGCAGGGGACAGCTAGTAATAACATATTTCTATATTATCTATTCTCATTGACTCCATTGAATCCTAGTCTCCAGAGTCGTAGCAAACAAGCCTGACTCCTCTTGTCACATCTTTTCGAATATTCATGTCCCCTTTCAACCTCAATCACACTTTCCTTCTTTTGATAAGATTCACATCATTTGGGCAGAGAAATCCCAAATGTTTTGCCCTATCCAAATCGGATGCACCCCGCTATCATGCTCCATATCACTATGGACTCACCAATGCCTTCTTCAAGCTTGTGGATGGTGTGTGCTTCCACAGCAACGACAGCTGTATTGGTCTCAGAACTTTCTTGATAAATCCTGCTGGAAAAGTACATGTAAGTAAACAACTTATACAGTGTAAAAGAAAAAGCTAGGTTTTAGAGCCCAGTGTGACTTAGAACCAAACTGTCTGAAGAATTGTCTGGTTCCAGATAACTTTCCTATGTATTGAGGTAATTGTCTGAGGGACCCTTACCATTGGAAATCACAGACTTCTAAATAGTGATGTCCTGTGTATGGAATCCTGGATATGGGGCAAATATAAGGGGCAGGCTTTGGGGAGGCATGGGTGGGATTGGGAGAAGCTGTGAGTTTTAAAGGTTATTTTAAATGTTATATTTTAATCTGTTTTTATCACACTGTCACCATGTAATTGTTTTTTCACTTCTGTATTGCACTTTTTTAAACTTCACTAAGTGTGGTATTGTTAGCTGCCTTGAGTCCCCACAGGGAGAAAGGTGCGGTATCATAGAATCATAGAATGATAGAGCTGGAAGAGACCTCATGGGCCATCCAGTCCAACCCTCTGCCAAGAAGCAGAAATATTGCATTCAAAGCACCCCTGACAGATGGCCATCTAGCCTCTGTTTGAAAACCTCCAAAGAAGGAGCCTCCACCACACTGCTGAATGGCTCTCACAGTCAGGAAGTTCTTCCTCATGTTCAGATGGAATCTCCTTTCTTGTAATTTGAAGCCATTGTTCCACGTCTTAGTCTCCAGGGAAGCTGAAAACAAGCTGGCTCCCTCCTCCCTGTGACTTCCTCTCACATATTTATACATGGCTATCATATCTTCTCTCAGCCTTCTCTTCTTCAGGCTAAACATGCCCAGCTCCTTAAGCTGCTCCTCATAGGGCTTGTTCTCCAGACCCTTGATCATTTTAGTCGCCCTCCTCTGGACACATTCCAGCTTGTCAACATCTCTCTTCAATTGTGGTGCCCAAAATTGGACACAATATTCCAGGTGTGGTCTAACCAAGGTGGAATAGAGAATGGGTAGCATGACTTCCCTGGATCTAGACACTATGCCGCTGGCTGCCAGTCCATCTCCGAGCCCAATTCAAAGTGCTGGTTTTGACCTATAAAGCTCTATACGGTTTTGGCCCAGCTTACTTGTCCAAATGCATCCACCCCTATATCCCATCTTGTAATCTAAGATAATCCGGGGAGGCCCTGCTCTCGCTCCCGTCAATTGTGCAAATGCGTCTTGCGGGGATGAGAGACAGGGCCTTCTCGGCAGTGGCCCCTCACCTATGGAACACACTCCCAAATGAGGTAAGATCTGCTCCCTCCCTCCTGGCTTTCAGAAAGAAATTAAAATCATGGCTTTGGGACCAGGCCTTCGGACAGTAGATGTTTGTAGAGTTTAAAGGACATGAACTAGAATGACAATACTAGTGTATTGAATATAGGAACATGGAACAACGGATTATGAGATTGGATCTTGATTCTACCTATGAGACGCTAATGAGATGTTATAGTTATGTTTAACTGATGGTTAATAATATATTTTAAGTGTTTTTTAACTCTTTTTATGATGTTGAGCATTGAATTTTGCTATTGTTAACCACTTTGAGTCGCCCAAGGGCTGAGAAAAGTGGTATATAAATGAAGTAAGTAAGTAAATAAATAAATAAATATGCTCCTATTGATGCAGGCCAAAATCCCATTGGCTTTTCTTGCCGCTACATCACATTGTTGGCTCATGTTTAACTTGTTGCCCACGAGGACTCCAAGATATTTTTCACACGTACTGCTCTCGAGCCAGGCATCCCCCATTCTGTATCTTTGCATTTCATTTTTTTCTGCCTAAGTGGAGTATTGTGCATTTGTCCCTGTTGAACTTCATTTTGTTAGTTTTGGCCCGTCTCTCTAATCTCTAATTATTATTATTTTACTGACACAAAAACACAGTATGACACAACATATGAGATATATATGCTGGACTTCGTAACACAAAATCACAAGTCGAACACTTCCCAAGCGTCTAGGACTGTGTGATGTATTTTCGAATGATGCGTGCAGATCCAACTCCTTTTGCAGTTGACAGATCATGATTTTGTTAATGTTTATGCTGAGATCTTTTGGCACAGCACCCAGTGTGCCGATGACCACTGGGACCACCTGTACTGGTTTATGCCAGAGCCTTTGCAGTTCGATTTTGAGGTCTTGATAATGGCTGTTTTTTTCCTGTTGTTTTTCGTCAATTTGGCTGTCACCTATTATGGTGACTTTTTTCTTTTCCACAATCATGATGTCTGGTGTATTGTGTTCCAAAACTTTGTTAGTCTGGATTCGAAAGTCCCACAGTATTTTTGCATGTTCATTTTCCACGACCTTTGCAGGTTTATGATCTCACCAGTTCTTTACTACTTGCAGGTGGTACTTGTGACATAAGTTCCAATGAATCATTTGCGCCACAGAGTTGTGCCTCTGTTTGTAGTCCGTCTGTGCAATTTTCTTGCATAGCTGAAGATTCATCAGCTTCCTTGCACAGTTTGCATTTTGGGTCATCAGCTGATTTTTTGATCCTGGCCTTAATTGTATTGGTTCTGCTGGCGTGCTCCTGGGCTTCTGTCTCCTTCTTCAGTGTTCCATTCATGAGCCATAACCAGGTCTTCTCCTTGCCCAATTTTCCTTCAATTTTGTCAAGGAACTGCCCATGCAATGCTTTGTTGTGCCTGCTGTCAGCTCTGGTTTGCAGTGCAGTTTTCTTGTACTGATTCTTTGTCTGCTGTGCTTTGAGAAGTTTCCAATTATTGAGTTCAATCAAAGCAGGTTCTTTGCTTTCCTTTACATATTCTGCCAGGGCATGTTCTTCTTCTTTGACTGCTTGTTTTACTTTTAAAACTCCTCTGCCCCCAGACCTTCTAGACCAGTGGTTCTCAACCTGGGGTCCCCAGATGTTTTTGGCCTACAACTCCCAGAAATCCTAACAGCTGGTATACTAGCTGGGATTTCTGGGAGTTGTAGGCCAAAAACATCTGGGGACCCTAGGTTGAGAACCACTGTTCTAGGCAGATTATTATTATTATTATTAATATTATTAATAATAATCATGTCAGACGCAACTTGCAAGTTGCTTCTGGTGTGAGAGAATTGATAGTCTACAGAGATGTTGCCCAGGGAATGCCTGGATGTGTTACCATCCTGCTGGGAGGCTTCTCTCATGTCCTCGCAAGCTAGAGCTGACAGACGGAAGCTCACACCATCTAGCAGATTCGAACCGGTAACCTTCAGGTCAGCAACCCAACCTTCACATCAACAGTCCAGCCAGCACAAGTGTTTAACCCATTGTGCCACTGTGGCTCTATAATAATAATAATAATAATAATAATAATAATAATAATAATAATAATAGTTGGCCACTGGACCTTCTCTCAGAAGTTGACCAATAGAACCTTACTGGAAACTGAGAGTGAAACATCTGTCTAGGCATAGTGATGCCCTCCTGCACAAGAAGCCCAAGATATCAATCATTTCAGGTAAGAAAAATAAAGAGTTCCAGATTACTCAAAAATCTTATTATGCAAGGAGTTATGGAACAGGTTCTCTGTGTTAGTTCCTACTATATTGTGCAAACTCTTCTTAGTAAACTGCAGAGAGATCCACATTTTCCTCCTATGGGACAGAGTTTAGATTGTCCTTAAGTTCCAAAGTTTTTAACTTTGAATATAGCTTAATGGATTTTAACTGTGAAAAAATTAATCCTGTTTATATTTCATCCTGTTTTAATGTTTGCATATTAGTATATTTTAAATTGTAAGCTTATGCATTTATCTTTAGGCCCTACACCCAGTGTGTGCTGATCCTCACTGAGACCACCTTTACTGGCTTGTGCCAGAGTCTTTGCAGTTCAATCTTACCTTTCTTTTCAGTCTTACTCAGGGGTCCTCAAACTAAGGCCTGGGGACCAGATATGGCCCTCCAAGGTCATTTACCCAACTCTCGCTCAGGGTCAACCTAAGTCTGAAACGACTTGAAAGCACGCAACAACAACAATTCTATCTCATCAGCCAAAAGCAGGTCCACACTTCCCACTGAAATACTAATAAGTTTATATTTGTTAAAAATCATAGAATCATAGACTCAAAGAGTTGGAAGAGACCTCATGGGCCATCCAGTCCAACCCCATTCTGCCAAGAAGCAGGAATATTGCATTCAAATCACCCCTGACAGATGGCCATCCAGCCTCTGTTTAAAAGCTTCCAAAGAAGGAGCCTCCACCACACTCCGGGGCAGAGAGTTCCACTGCTGAACGGCTCTCACAGTCAGGAAGTTCTTCCTCATGGTCAGATGGAATCTCCTCTCTTGTAGTTTGAAGCCATTGTTCCGCGTCCTAGTCTCCAAGGAAGCAGAAAACAAGCTTGCTCCCTCCTCCCTGTGGCTTCCTCTCACATATTTATACATGGCTATCATATCCCCTCTCAGCCTTCTCTTCTTCAGGCTAAACATGCCCAGCTCCTTAAGCCGCTCCTCATAGGGCTTGTTCTCCAGACCTTTTATCATTTTAGTCGCTCTCCTCTGGACACATTCCAGCTTGTCAATATCTCTCTTGAATTGTGGTGCCCAGAAGTGGACACAATATTCCAGATGTGGTCTAACCAAAGCAGAATAGAGGGGTAGCATGACTTCCCTGGATCTAGACACTATGCTCTTATTGATGCAGGCCAAAATCCCATTGGCTTTTTTTGCCGCCACATCACATTGTTGGCTCATGTTTAACTTGTTGTCCACGAGGACTCCAAGATCTTTTTCACACGTACTGCTCTCGAGCCAGGCGTCCCCCATTCTATATCTTTGCATTTCGTTTTTCCTGCCAAAGTGGAGTATCTTGCATTTGTCACTGTTAAACTTCATTTTGTTAGTTTTGGCCCATCTCTCTAATCTGTCAAGATCGTTTTGAATCCTGCTCCTGTCCTCTGGAGTATTGGCTCCCTCCCAATTTGGTGTCGTCTGCAAACTTGATGATCCTGCCTTCTAACCCTTCATCTAAGTCATTAATAAAGATGTTGAACAGGACCGGGCCCAGGACGGAACCCTGCGGCACTCCGCTCGTCACTTCTTTCCAGGATGAAGAGGAAGCATTGGTGAGCACCCTCTGGGTTCGTCCATTTAACCAATTACAGATCCACCTCACCGTAGTTTTGCCTAGCCCACATTGGACTAGTTTCCTTGCCAGAAGGTCATGGGGGACCTTGTTGAAGGCCTTACTGAAATCCAGGTATGCTACATCCACGGCATTCCCCACATCTACCCAGCTTGTAACTCTATCGAAAAAAGAGATCAGATTAGTCTGGCATGACTTGTTTTTGATAAATCCATGTTGACTATTAGCGATGACCGCATTTGTTTCTAAGTGTTTGCAGACAACTTCCTTAACAATCTTTTCCAGAATCTTGCCTGGTATCGACGTGAAGCTGACCGGACAGTAATTGTTTGGGTCATCCTTTTTTCCCTTCTTGAAGATTGGGACAACATTGGCCCTCCTCCAATCTGCTGGAACTTCTCCTGTTCTCCAAGAACTCTCAAAGATGATTGTCAATGGTTCCGAAATGACTTCTGCTAGTTCCTTCAATACTCTTGGGTGTAGTTGATCTGGCCCTGGGGACTTGAACTCATTTAGAGCGGCCAGGTATTCCTGGATGACTTGTTTCCCAATTTGGGGTTGGATGTCCTCTAATCCCTCATCCACTCCGTCTTGCTGAGGTTGAAGATGACTTTCTTTTTGTGAGAAGACCGAGGCAAAGAAGGTATTAAGTAGTTCTGCCTTTTCCCTATCCCCTGTCAGCATTGCCCCATCTTCTCCTCAAAGAGGCCCTATCGCCTCGTTTTTCCTTTTTCCACTGACATAAGAAAATAATCCATTTTTATTGTTTTTAATGTCCCTGGCAAGCCTGAGCTCGTTTTGTGCTTTAGCCTTGCGGACCTTTTCCCTACAGGTGTTGGCTATTTGTTTGAATTCTTCTTTGGTGATTTCTCTCTTTTTCCAGTTCTTGTGCATGTCTCTTTTGTATCTCAGCACAGTTAGAAGTTCTTTGGACATCCATTCTGGCTTCTTTGCACTTGTCCTATTTTTTCTTCATTTTAATTACTGTATTGCATTTAAGTGTTTTTTTTTTTGCACTACAAATAAGATATGTGCTGTGTGCATAGGAATTCATGTGTTTGTTTGTTTTTCAAATTATAATCCGGCCCTCCAATACTTTGAGGGACTGTGACCTGGCCATCTATTTAAAAAGTTTGTGGACCCCTGGTCTTACTTTTCTTTTCAGGCAGGCTTTTAAAGAAGAAAGTGTTTACACTGAACCAGGGGGTGTTTATTATTATTGATATTATTGTTTTATTAATTTATACCCTGCTTTAGGGATATAAATAGACTCAAAACAGCTTGACATAAAAGCATCAGCATATAATTTAAAATATACAAATATACGATTATTGTTGTAATGGCTGCTCTCTGGGCTGGTTCTCCTCCCTTGCTTCCATATAACTTCTAATTATTCCCAGCAAGGTGGGGTGGGTGCTTAAAGTTACTACTAGTTGAGCTAGCATTTAGTCCTTCACTATTCCCAAGGACTGGTCCTTGTAATGGTTAACACAAACCGCTCTGAGTCCCCTTCGGGGTGAGAAGGGCAGCATATAAATGTCGTAAATAAATAAAATAAATAATAAAGAAGACCAAAGCAGCTTTATTTCTACATTTTGAAATTGCATTCCGGCCATTCCAAATTTTGCACCAATTGCTGAATTCTTCACTTTTACAAAACAGAACATATGTTCACCCCTCATCATAGCACAGAACTTACCCTTGCTGTATAGGCTGCAGTTGCAGGATCACCTGGGTCTTGGTATCTTCTGGGTTTCCCCCTTCATTTCCATCGGTTGGCACAACAACCACATCCCCGATGGGGATGTTTACTTCCGCATTGGCCATTTGCTTACATGAAGTCCAAGGCGTGAGGGGACCAGTGCACTGCAATAGACAATAGAGAACAAATTACCCTTTGTGGTTATAGCAGGCATGGGCAAACTTGGGCTCTCCCTCCAGGTGTTTTGGATTTGAACTCCCACCATTCCTAACAACCTCAGGCCACTTTCTTTTCCCCATGAGCTGCTTAAGCAGAAAAGGAAAGGGAAAAGGAAGGGGCCTGAGGTTGTTAGGAATGGGGGGGAGTTGAAGTCCAAGACACCTGGAGAGCCCAAGTTTGCCCATGCCTGGGTTATAGCATGAAAGACAGAAATTTCCTGCTACATACAGTTAGCATTGCCATAGCAATAAACCATCTATATAAATAAAAATGTAATGTTTGTTTGTGGGATTAACATAACTCAAAAACCACTGGATGAATTGGCACCAAATTTGTACACAATACACCTAACAGGCCAATAAGTGACCATCACTCATAAAAACACTGAAAAACACAGCAGAAGGCACTTAAAAAGCAAATAAATAAATAAATAATGCATTACAACGCAAAACCACATATTTACACAAATATATACACACACATATATATATACACACAAGACACATACACACAGACTGGGCCACAGCAACGCGTGGCAGAGGGCGGCTAGTAGTAGTAAATAGTAAATAGCTAGGGCTGTGCAAAAGTATCATTAGTTGTCGTAATTCATATCAAATTAGTTAACTTTTTGGTGCGATATCCGACATGAGCGTCAAAAACCAAAGAATCAAAACTCCCCCGATACTTTTTTGTTTGCATTTTGTAAACCTCGGAAGCCTCCCAAAGACAGTTTCATGTTCAGTGCAAGGAAGCAAAACATAGCCTTTCCTCTTTAAATGAATGGTCTCTCACCATGAAGAGAGGGAGGCAACAGGGAGAAAGGTTTTTCCCCCCGCTGGGAAAGAGGAGAAAGCACAGAATCAAACTGCTGAGCTGTTGAACTTGCTCACCAAAAGGTTGGCAGTTCAAATCCGGGGAGTGAAGTGAGCTCCCTTTGGTGGCTTTTTGAATTCTGCTACATTCCTGGACTTCACTCTCTTCAAGGACTCGCTCTCTACCCATGAACTTTCTTCAAGACAACTTATGAATTCATGCTGTGTCCTGATATCATCTGCTTTTTATAATTGGTATTATTAATCTCTCTCTGGGGTCCTGGATGGGAAGATAGCTGCATATGATTTCCCTGTGTATAATTTCTATATGGTTTTTATGTTTCCTTGTATTCCTGACCCTTTGCCCCTTCTCCCTCCAAAGAAATATGTAAGGGAACCACCTGGCCTAAACAATTGTTTGACAAAAGTTTCTGTAAGATAAGGGGAAACCTTCCCCTCTGCTTTTTGTTTACTTCCCATTGATAGCATTAACCCCAGGCATTGTTCCCCTGTCTCACAGCCAGGAAGGACACATGTTGATTCACAACACTCAAAGCAGCCCTGTATGGGCTCTTTGTCTCACAGAGCACATGGCATTCCTTTGTTTAAAGATTCCTTCCCAGATTCCTTTGTGTTCCATCATCCCGCCTCCATCTCTCCTGATTGGCTGTCGCCACCAGGTGGCAGAGGTCTCCCCATTGGATCCTACGGACCACTGGAGCTTCCTGATTGGTCCAGAGGCACCGGGGGCGGGAGGGCCGCCTCCCAGGTGTCTGCCCATCACCCAATCACAGCAGGGAACAACAGGGAAGCCGGGGCGAGGAGTTTGAACTCTGCAAATTTGAATTTACTATAAATATGACTGCATTGGTGTAATCTCCTCATGCTCTGCTGGCGAATGATTGCAGCTTTGCATCTGGTTTCAGCTGAATCGCATTAAACTTCGATGGCTTTTCTTCAACTGGTGAGACTTTTCTTTGGGAAATTAGGGAAAAATATGGGATGCTTCTCTGTCTCGCCAGGGAAAAAGAACTCTTTGAGTAGTCTAATTGGTCTCTGCCTCCTGGCAAAGACCTCTAAATTTTAGCTCTAGAACAATAGCAGCCAGCAGAGTTCCAATGAATGGTTGAATCTGCAAAGAGGAGGATGGACTGAGACTTCTAGGAAGTAATAAGACAGACTACAAGCAGAGGCACAACACCGTTGCTCAGATAATTCATTGGAACTTGTGCCACAAATACCATCTGCCTGCGACAAAGAACTGGTGGGATCACAAGCTGGAAAAAGTTACAGAGAATGAACATGCCAAACTCCTCTGGGACTTCCGAATTCAGACAGACAGAGTTTTGGAGCACAGCACTCCTGACCTCACAATCGTGTTAAAAAACAAAGTATGGATCGTCGATGTCGCAATCCCAGGTGACAGCAGGATTGCAGAGAAATAACTGGAAAAGCTTACAAGATATGAGGATTTAAAGCTCGAACTACAAAGACTCTGGCACAAGCCAGTCAAGGTAGTCCCAGTGGTGATCGGCATACTGGGTGCAGTGCCTAAAGACCTCGGTCTGCACTTAAACACAATCGGCCCTGACAAAATTACCATCTGCCAGCAGCAGAAGGCCACCTTACTGGGATCTGCATGCATTATTCGCCAATACATCACACAGTCCTAGACACTTGGGAAGTGTCTGACGTGTGATCCAATTCAACAGCCAGCAGAGTGTCTGCTGTGGACTCATCTTGTTGTGTTTCAAATAGTAATAATAATAATAATAATAATAATAATAATAATAATAATGTCAATAATAATAACATTAATAATAATAATAATAATAATAATAATAATAATTTTTATTTAAATCAGTGTTGGGCTGGAAATAAATCTATCAATGGATGGCCCTTTGGGGTCCCTTCTAATTCAATAGGGAAAGAATATTAATTACTTTAGAGGCTGGATGGCCATCTGTCAGGAGAGTTTGGATGGTTCCCTTCTGCATGGAAGGAAAGGTTGGACTAGATGGCCCTTGGGGTTCCCTTTCAAACTCTAGGATTCTGTGAAAATGTAGAATTGGTTTCTATTGGTTAATATATAATATATTCAATGAGTTAACTTGTTGTGGCTTTTTAAAAAATAGTTTTTACCAAAACTTTTTTTAAAATCCCAAAAATCAGAAGATGGATATTTGTGAAATTTGGGAGGAATTATCACATTATCTTGTGTAATTGCATAGAAAATTCAAGGATATAGGCTCTTGTAGTATAAGAAGTGTAGTATAAGAGGTGTCTATGAACAACGCCAGCTCTTTGGCTTTGAAATGGAGATGAGCACTAACCCCCAGAGTAGGACACAACTGGACTTAATGTCAGGAGAAAACCTTTACCTTTACCTTAGTATAAGCATACTATTATTACTATTATATTACATTTACTAGCTGTCCCCTGCCAGACGTTGCTGTGGCCCAGTCTGTGTATATGTGCTTTGTGTGTGTATATGTGTGTGTATATCTGTGACATCTACAGATATCTACGTAGATAACTATCGGACAGATGGCAAGCTGTTTAACCTCAGCAGACTGAAAGCCAAAACCAAGGTTACAACATCTGTTATAGAGCTCCAGTATGCTGATGACAATGTCATCTGTGTGCATTCAGAAGAAGATCTTCAAGCCACTCTAAACACCTTCGCAGAAGCATAGGAGAAGCTCGGCCTGCCATTGAACACTGAGAAAACCAAAGTGCTGTTCCAGCAGTCACCAGCCAACCCCTCTCCAATGCCAGAGATACAGCTTAATGGTGTAACATTAGAAAATGTTGACCATCCGGCCATGGCTGACTCCGCCCCCCCCCCCCCCCCCCCCAAGGGAAAGCAATTAAAAAGAACTTCCCCAGGGAGTTCAATTATTGAAGATTCAAGTATCAAGGGGGCTGCTATCTCTCCTATCTCTACATCAATGTCATCCCTAATTGGAGAACCTGGCTGTGAAAAGGGAGAAATGGATAACAGCCAACTGTTAAACAAAATAGCAGACCTGATCAAAGAGGAGAGTGGAAGGAAAACAAAAGAGTTGAATTCGATGCTGAACTCAATGTTTGAAAAAGAAAGAGAAATGAGGGAAAAGGATATTCAGACATTGAAACAGGAGATTCTGACCAGTACTAAGGAATTTAAGACCCAACTCGAGGCTGAGAGGAAAAGTTTGGATGAAAAATTTCAGACAATAACAGGAACTTTGCAAACAATGCAGGGAGAAATACAAACAATCAAAGCAGAAACTGAAAAGAATAAACAGGAACAACGAGCATTTAAACAACAAATGCAGCAAAATGAAAACAAGCTTTCAGATATGGAAAGAAAGTTCGTGTACATGCAAGACAACCAAAGAAGGAATAATGTAATAATTAAAAACTTTCCAGAAGGGAATAAAAAAGAAGATTTGAAAGCTGAAATTCTGAAGTGGCTGCAGAAAATCACACCAGCATTGAATTGGACAGAATCGGATTTGGAACAGGTCCATCGTCTTCCGGCTGGAAGAAATAAAATAATACCCAGAAACATAATAATTTGGGTTTACAACTTCGCAAAGAAAGAAGAATTGATGAAAATAATAAAGAAGAATCCAGAATGCTTAAAGATGGGAGAATCAAACTTGGAAATCTTTAATGACTACTGTTCAGAAACTAAGAACTGGAGATACTTAATGAAGCCAATTACGATCCAATTAATGAAGGCTGGAATTTTGTACACTTGGGGATATCCAATTTTTCTCAAATTCCTATGGAAAGGCAAGAGATACAGAATATACTCTTTGGAACAAGGACACCAACTACTGGAGGAGCTTGGCATCGCAAGGAGACAAGAGAGAGAACAGGAAAAGGAGAAGAATGGATCGAAGGAAGGAGAATTGGAGGGACTCATTGGTGCCATGGGAGGAATTGAGATGTAAGAAGAAATCAATCACTGCAACAAAATTTTTTTTTTACTAAAAAATGAGCACTCGGGGGGAGGGAGACTCTGGGCCACGGGATGACTTCACCCCCCCCTCCCCAATTGGGAAGGCCGGGGGCCATGGTTGGGACTAGAAGTCCCGAAGAATGGAACGGGAGGAAGGGGGGAATGAGGAGAGGGGGGGGAA